TAAAGACCCATCTTTAATCTAGATCATTTGAGGTGATATCCCACTTCAGGGGAAGTGTCTATGGAGTAGAGGGAGAAAGCATAGTCAGCTATTGGAGCCATGGGCAAGTGCTATCAATATGCACATCTCTGCTCATTTAGAAAAAGCCTTTGTCTAGGGTGGAAGGCAGGGTCAGGAACCATTGTTCTGTGTCTTTAAGCACACTGCAACCCTGTGGGAGGTGCTCTTGTCACTCAGGTCTCACTAGCCAATCAGGCACTCCAGGTGACCTGCCAGTCAGAAGCCATGCAGGGTCCTTCTGGCCACTGGCTTCAGACCTGGTTTTGAAGAGAAACTGGTTCCAGCAATTTTGTGTGGTGTGCTGTGAATCCTGCTTCAGTGAGCTGACCCGAGAGCATGGACAAGCTGCGAAACCATGACATGGTGAGTGAGGGGCTGCTATCTCCAGATGGAGTGGAGCAGATGATGAGGTGTGGGATCCAGTGTGGTGAGACTTCCTTTGATCTGGGTAGGAACCTGCCTGCAAAATCCCAGTCCTGTGAAGTCCCACGTGGGACTTGAAACTCCCTGGACCCTGGCGCAGGCCTCTGAATAACTTTGCTCTGTGGGCTGAATCAGCTCACAGAATTCGGTGCAGGGAGCTGTGTGAAGAAACATTTTTGTGCCGAGTGAGGGTGGCCCTCACTTTTAATCCCAGCACAGGGGAGGCAGAGTTAGGCCGATCTCTTTGAGTTCAAGGCCTGCCTGGTCTACAGAGTGAGATCCAAGACAGGCATTTAAACTACACAGAGAAGACCTGTTTCAAGAAACAAAAACAAACAAAAAAAGCAACTTTTTTGTACTAAACTTCGATATGCTTTTGGTGCACCCATGGAATGCAGGTTGTCAAACGTGGAGAGTACTTTCCAGTACCTTTTAGAGGTTCAGCACTTTGCATTTCACTTTCATGTGTAAGATCCATTTATAGTTAATTTTGTGGAGGTTGTAAAAGGCATCTTATGTGTTAGGTAACACTCCACTATTAAGGTGTGATGTAGAAGTGTAGAATTGGTGATATAAAGAATTTACTAATTCTTTGGAGATAGTACGTCTCACAAAATAGAATTTAGCTGAGGGAGGAATGATTCAAGAAACAAAAACCTCAAAGGTAAGTGCCTTGTAGTCAGGCCTGTTAGAGATTAGGACAGTAGGATACACATTTGTTTGGCTCTAAACCATCACAAAGGAGCCACTGCTTATTTAAAACAAGCCAATGAATCAAAGAATGGGACTCTAACAAGCTGCCACTTGTAAAGGAAAATATAAATAAACAAAAGGTATAATACATTTATTTGTACTCATAAAAACAGGAAATTATAATGAGGTTAAAAACCATCATTAATATACAGTCTTCAAAAGTTAAAATATTGGGGATATATTAATGGCATAGAATATAATAATATCACATGTAAGTCAATATCGTCTTCAACAAATTGCATAAAAAATTTATGTTGCTACTTGGACTTTGTATTTTAGTCATTAATCATCTATTAGCAAGAATTCTTTTTTTTATTTATCATATAATTGACATTTATTTTAGAATTTTTAGAAATAAATTTATACATAATCTTTTTGACTTTAATAATGCTTGCCATGCATTTGCTGAAGGACTCCAATCTCAAATCTTCCTTTATCTCTGCTCCTCTAGTACCACCACCTCCTCGTCTCCCACTTAGATTCTCTGCCAGAGTCTCTAACATATCTGCCTGCATATGGCATTTTCTACTTTCCCATTAGAGTTGTGCTCATATTGTCAACGACATCCATTTCTCTGTGGCGCAGTGACTATTTCAAAAGGGCTCCTGGCAGCAACGTGGAGTGTGACACCAGGATTCAAAGATCTCTGTCTGACTTTGCAGAGTTTTCCCAAGGTTTGATTGAGGGAAAAAAAAAAAAAACCTACTCAAAGATACTCACAAACTATAGTCAAATGCAAGTGAGGGTGATAATAATATGTTGTCATCCCTAATGCCAGATGTTTTTGTTTGCTCTGAAAAAAAGTACAGGGTTCATTTACATAATTTATTTAGATCAACCTTCCATTTGAGAGGCAGAGAAAATTGGAAGTCAAGAAGTCAGGAGTTCCCATGCCAGTCAAACAACTGGGGGAAGGGGTGTGTGTGAAAAATAAATCAAAGAAACAGAATTAACGTGGGCAGGTAGTGTTACAAAAAAATCAATCTTTCAGGTATTTATGATGAAACACAGACTCAAGAAGCAGTGGAGCTCCACTCTGACGAGGCAGGAGGATGGGTGTGGTCATGAGCCAGTGCATCAGGAAAGCTAATGTCCTCATGTGTCTGCAGCATACTGCTCGTTCCACACTGTTGGAGTTCTCAGACGTTATAGTAGTTCACTGAAGCTTCCCAGATGTTTCAACCTCATTTCAGATCTCCACACCAGATGAAATGCTTGGCAGTGGGGAGGTGGATTGAGGGGCTGCTCTGTGAGCTTTGTGTCTCTATGAACTTCTTGATAAAAGCATCAGTAGTTTGTGTGTAGAGGCTAAGAGCATATCTCAGGGAATGAAGGTCTGGGCTTTTCTCCAGAAAATTCTTCTTCAGGCCATTTCCTCCAGCATGGAAATATTGCTTGATGGTGGCCAAGACCACTTCCATTATTGCACATTGTCTTGGTGTCAGCCCCTTGGCATCTTCTCGAATCATGTGCTCCTTCAGTTTGGATAACTGACCGAGATCTTTAGCTGCAATGAAAATCATCTGAGGCCCTGTTTGGTCTGTCAGCGGAGGGAGAACAATCTGCTTCTCTATCTTGTTAAGAACTAGCTTCCAGAGTTCCTTCAGAACTCGCTTCAGGACCGTTTTCTCACAGATTTTTGCTGAAAGACTTAATGTTTTATCCAAGAAGTCCATGAGTGGTCTCAGAACAATCTCTGCATCCATTGCTGCACTGTTCTTATTCGCTGTGCTGGTTCCATTTGCTCTCATTTGATTTAGCTCAATGCCCATCTGCTTTATACACTCTTCAATTACAAGTTGGAAATTTCTCCGTAAGTGACGCTGAGCTCATCCAGAACCCTGTTGAGTTTAATTTGAAGTTCTTTTAGAATAGTGCTGGCTTCAGGGTCTAGCTCTTTCCCGCCCATGGATTCGAACATTTTCTCCAGCTGGACTCGAATTTGTTGGATGTTGTTCATCAGGATACAGGGCACAGTCTCCTTATCACAGTACGAGCTGAAATCACTTGATACAATGGCAGCATACTGGACCAGAACCTTATTGATGGTCTTGGCAAACCTTCGCATTAAGTGAGATAAGGCTTCAGGATTGGGGCATTCCAGTTTCTTAATGATCTCAAAGCTCTGATTAAGCTGAGCAAAGACATCAACCACGGAACAAGAGAAGAGGGCATGATCTGATGTCTGCTGGAATCCATCTTTTTTTTCTCTTCCCAGTGCTCCGTGAAGGAACTCCATGGACACATCTTCATTTTCATCTAGCCACTGCATGACAAAAGGCTCAAACCACAAGGAATATTCCGGAACAGCATCCTTGAAGGCAGGAAGTTCTCGTACATACTCATTATAAAACCATTTCACTTTGAAATGCAAATTCATATAATCGGTGCTCTTGCATAACCGCTGCTTCTCATGTTCCTCTAGAGCATATTTCATATCGAGGGCAAAGAGAGACCACATGATTTCGGCACTTATCTTTCCCATGTTTAGTTCTTGAGGAAACTGATTGAGGACAGGGGTGTAGGCAGTCTTATCCTCATCGATAATAGTGACCATCAGAGTAATCAGCTGTGGCCAGAAGTCCAGGTTCTTGGTGGTCGGTCCCTGGTCTTCCCGAGGAACATCCTGCTTCTTACTCGGGTCTATCAGCTGAGAATAGAGTTTGTGGCAATTGTCAAAGATATACCTGTATGTAGAATCCAGGCAGGCCCTGACACAGTCCTTCACTACCGCGCTGGTCTTTGGTGGGCTCTGCAGCTCCAGAACCTTCATCCTGAAGAAGGTGATGCTGGTTAGCAGGTCCACAGTGGACTTCAGGTCCTGCAGTCTCTCACTGTTGCCAGCGGGAAAGTTTTCCCTGTACTTCGACAGGTAAATCCTTAAAGAGTTATGCAGCTGGTCCAGTAGTTTTATGAATTTTTCCCTCCCAAAGTTTGTAGCAGCAAAGCGATCAGAGGCAGAAACTTGCACATTAGTGGAGACAGTTGTGTGGGCATAGAAGGCGTTGATGTTCGCCAACAGGGCACTCATGACTGCAGGGACACCCGGGCACATGTACTTAGAAGACAGACATGAAAAGTGCGTCATAGCTTGATAAATGGATTCAACCCCATAACGAATGGCAAATTCATCCACTATTTCTTGAGAAGCATCATCAAAGAAAACCTTCCAGGCTTCATCACCTTTGACCTCTGGTATTTTCACACGGCCATTAGACTTCACTTCAGTCAAGTAATGGAACAGGTTCTCATGTAAACAGGTATACTGTATATGGTATGGTGCCACCTTCTCCTCTCCCTTTATTTCCACATTGATTTTCAGTTGGATGGCCCCAGACACAGCTGACTTATCTGTCCGTTTCTCTAAGTTGTACCAGACATCCATCTCGCCACTGAGAGTCCTTCTGAGAGTCTTCCACAATTGTCTGTCCCAGAAAATCATCTGACTCCTTCTTGAAGTGCTGCTTAACTCTGGATTTTATGTCATCGTCTTCATCCCATACGCGGACCTTGATTCGATCCGTCGAGTTATGACACTCAAAGTAAAACCGCTCATCCCACACCGGATTCAAGTTTCCAAAGATGGTTTTCGTTCTTCTTTTATTTTTGCCAACTTGAACTGTCACATAAGGGTCACTGGATCCTGTTTTGTCTTTTGCCTGCAAGCCTTGTGCAGAAACCACTGTAATGGTTATTTTTGCTGACCACTTAGAGGTCCCATCCAGCACGCTCTGCTTGGCGGCCTTTGTGTACTGCACAAAATCCTCCTTGGATATCTGGAACATTTCCTGAATGACTTCAAACACCTCTGGCCTGTTTCTCTCCCTGATCTTCATTCTTTCTTTCATGGCTGTGATGATGGTCAGAGTCTTGTCCTCAGCTCCGTGCTTCGAGCTCTTCTCTGCAGCTCTCTGCAAACAGTCAGCGTTGAGGAGGTCCTGACACTTCTCATGACATTTCACCCCACACTCCAGACACTTCATGCCTTGCCTTGCCATGCCCCACAGCAGCCCTTCACATTCGTAGCAGTAGGTGGGTGTGGTGGCTGTCCAGACCTCAAAGTTGTGTGGTGTAGTAGAAGAAATGGGATAAATCAATGCCTGCAAGGTCTTCTTGAAGACATGCATTTTCAGCTCTTCATTGTTCACTGATGTCCTGATGACCATAGCAAGTGACAGGCCAGATTTCCAGGCAGCCAGGGTCACATCCCGTACAATAGGCAATGTCTTTTTCCTGCGGAGATCAGGCATGCTATCTATTCCATACAGTCCATGCCCAGCCCCACTGAACACCTGGAGTGCAGAGAATTTGGAAGCATCCAAATCATTGCCACTTACTATTCGAGCTCTTTTTCCGTGGCTTGCTGTGTAGCTGGGTGACTGGCCCCTCCTTCTCTGCTCCTAGATCTATTAGCAAGAATTCTGTTTCACATTGCTATTGCTTTAGTGTTTTCAAACAAGAACTACTATAAATAATGAGAATAAATGTTTTCATAAAGCAATATGCATAGCTAATTTTTCAATAAGCATTTAGTAATTACAAGGTCTACTTCTGAGAAAACACTACCAAATTCAAGTGTAGGGCTTCCTAAAGTGATGTTTGTGATACTGTCTAAGGAATAAATATTGATCAAAGTTTTGTTTATTCCACAAATTCAGAAGGAGGTTTTATTGCATAAATATATGATACTGAAATAAAGTTGATAATTATTATATAATTTCTTCAAGTTTCTTTCTAATGCGTTTTCTGATGTCTTCTTTTTCCACATTCTTCATACTTGTAAAATTTCTATCCAGTATGGGTTTGGGAAAGATAATGAAGTGTTGAGGATGTGGTAAATGAATTTTCACATTCTTTAAATTTATAAGGCTTGACTCTGATATGAGTTCTGTGATGATCATTAGCAGAAGAACAATGGGTAGAAGACTTGATGCATTTTTAGTTTTTCTGCAGTTTACCTCTAGTAAGGATTCTATGGTGAACATGAAGAGTAGAGCCATGCATAAAGGACTTTCCACATTCATCACACTTATAAGGTTTCTCTCCAGTATGGATTCTCCTATGACATTGAAGATGGGAGGACTGGACAAAAGAATTTCC